GAACAGGGAGCAAAGTTCCAGGTAGGGGCATTGGGTACCTTGACTGAGTTTCTATGAATGCCAGGCCTCCAGGTTGGATAGTTTAGGTGTAACCATCTCTATTGATATCTCCATGTTTTTCATAATTGAGGCTTGTGTTGCTTCTTTGGTTTTATAGTTACCAGTATGAAAGATCCTTAGAATAATGACAGTTTCATTGTACATGCATTTTTAAAATAAGGAAGATGACTTGCAAAGAATTCCTCAGTCTGAAAAAGTTTCCAAAGTCAAATGTTTACAGTGACAGATTTTTTACTCAATTTTGTTTTTTCCAAACCGTATTTTACTTTTCTATTTTTGGCTATCATATTTTGATTTTGTCTATTTCTAGCCTCAAATTCAAGGCATCTGTTTTTACAGTAGTTTCTGCCCTTGTTGTCATATGGTTATATATATAGCATTCAATCTGTTTGAGGAGAAGGAAATCATAAATCTGTCTTCTTAAGGAGATAGGAATTATATATATATACACACACACACACAAATATACATATAAAATATGAACTGTATGACTGGGACCATATTTATTTCTTCTGGATTTCCTAAATTGCCTAGATTGGTAAAAAGAACACACTAGGTATTAAGTAAATGGTGGATGGAAAAATCTGGAGAACAGTAAGCAGCCATACCTCTATCATGTCTTTTTAGATCAAAAGCAAGATACATATAAATTTATATCTCTAATCCATTTTAGTTCCTCTTCAAGTCAGCCATGTGTAAGCCAAACCAGCACATGTATAACAGTAACTGGAAATAGGGGTTGCTGTTCATTTCTAAGTGTATTTCCTTTTCTATGGTAATTGTATGTGCTACTCTCTTTTCATAGCTCAGAGAATGCAAGCAGTATCTTTCAATAATAAAGCATCTTCATGTGTCAACAGAAACATACATTTAATGAGTACTGTTTGGCAATAAATACTAAATAAGGTTAAATCTCCAGGCATGAAACGTTTTACCAGCATGTTTTTGTCTGTACTTGTTAATGTTTTCTCCTTATAAGTATGCCTCCACATCTGATTTTAAAAAAACTCAAGACTTCCTCTGTCAGAGAGCACCTAGCAACTAGTGAATTATCATAGGAGTTCACAGGGTTGTCTTTTGGACCTTCTTCTTCTTTTTTAAAACACATGCACTTTGACTCAGGGGAGTGAATTTAATAGGCTTTTTTGTTAGAGGACAGAAAGCAAGGTGGCATATTAGAAAAAGCATGCACTTAGGAGATAAAAGTCTCTTAGCCAAATGGGTGATCTTGGCAAAGTTACCTAATCGCACAGAGCCTAAGTTTCCTCAGGTATAAAGTGGGGAATAATACCTACCTCATAGGACATTTGGGAGGATTACATGCAATAACAGATATTGAAGCACTTAGCATGTAACGGGTAGCCAGTACATGTTGGCGTCTACCTCCTTTCTTTCTTCAGTTCCCCCTGTTCCAGGCTTCCAGGGCTACTCTTGACTTTATTTCCTGCCTTCTGATTGTTTCCCAAGATTTATTCATTTCTTTTGCATTTTCATAATTGAGTAACTTCATATCTCTTGGACATTTTTCTTACCCAAACATTGTCTGTTCTACCTGAAGATAAACTGAGGAACCAGGTATCTTTTGTGTTAGGTGTTCACATAAAACTTTTATTAAAGATGATTAGCACATCCTTCTGTATATTTTACATACTTTTTTCAAAGAGGTTTTTACTCACTTTGTAACCACTATGAACACATGGTTGTAGTGCTATATATAATTTTCACCTTATCTTTTAAACAAATCTATTTTCTTTTTCAATAGTTTAATTAATACTGAATAGAGTTTTAGCATGGTGTGTGTATGTTATATGATTGCTCTTTGGAGGAGAGATAGAAATACATGTATAATATATATAGTTTAATTTTGCTGTTCAGTGTATTGAATGATTACTCATTCCTCTTTAAAGTAGTTTAAAAAGTATTTTGTTCTAGATGCTGGGGATATGGCAGTGGATCAAATTGAGTCTTTGCCGTTGAAAAGCTTGCTTTCTAAAGTGAAAAATTTTTAATTTTTTATAATGCATTTTTCTTACTTTGGTCATACATATATATATACCATGCATCAAGGAGTTTTATTGTAATAGAATATTATATTTGGGGGGAATATTTGAAGCTATGGCTCAAATATTTTGTGTCCCAAGATTTATTAATATCAAATGTCAAATTTTTTAGATCAAATAGTGATTTCATTACATTTGCCATGTTCCACAAAGTAATATTTTATTACAATTCTTTATATAAAATATACTTGTTTTGGAGGTCTAACATTGGCTTGCAGGTTGAAAATATTTTTCATTCATTTAGTAAACATTTTTTGAGGACCTCCTATACGCCTAGGTTCTGTCTTAAACTAACTTAGTACAGGAATTTAAACTCAGGTCCAGAGCGCAATCTATTTCCTTTTCTTCATGCCATATATTAAAAGGTGGGGACAAGAGAATGAGGATTTATTTGGATTTAGTTACTGGGAAGGGGACATTACCTTGGAAAGAATTCTTTTTGAATGGTTGGGGGAAGAAAAGCTTATTATAGGAGACTAAGGAAGCCCAGAATAATAAGGAAACTGAAGTATGAAGTATAGGCGATTCTTCTTTGTATCTTGGTAGTGAGTAGAAGGAAGATTCATGCAAGGGCTTGAAAGTACCAAAAACTAGGGAAGGAGACTTCAAAATAAGGGATATATGAGGGTTGTAAGAGAGAGCAAGGAGTTGGGGATCAAGTGATTAAATACCATGAAGAGAGGAGATAATTGAAACTGTAATGTTCCAGAGGAACCAGAGAAGATAGTTATTAGGACAAAAGTGAAAGGGGATTTGGCTTAGAAGAGTAGGGAGAAAACTTCATTTGATATAACAGGAAGAGATGAGAATGAATGAAAATAAAAGTATTTTAAGATGGAGGAATGGGATGGTTATGATCACTCCCAAAAGATAGCCTTTAATCTTCTCATAAAGTACAGTAGGGTCATTTGCTGACTGGAATGGGGTGAGAGGGAGAGGGGAGCTTAAAAAGGGGAAAATGTTCTGCCATTGAAACATACTTGGAAATCAGTGAGTTGCAGCAGTGACACCCCAGTTGAGGTTAGCATGGATGTTACAGTGATCTACAGTATCCCAATGTTCTGTAGCAGGAGTTGGCAAACTACAACCTGAGGGCCACATTTAGCCCATGTAGCCTGTGAGCTAGGAATAGTTTTTATATTCATAAAGGGTTTAAAAAAAGAGAAAGACAAAGAAGATTGTATGACAGAGACCATATGTGACCTTCAAAGCCTAAAATATTTACTCTCTGGCCCCTTAAGGAGAGAACTGACCCTTGCTCAGGACCAGAGAGAGCAAATGATAGTGTGACTCAGTGGTTGGAGCTGACATGTTGGACATGATCGAAGATCAGGGGGTGATAACGTAAGGGATACTAGTTATGAGGGTTTTGGTGGAGGTGGACAGTTGGGTGCAGGTTGATAAGGGGGTAAAGTAAAGCCAGAAGGAAGCTAACAGATTGGATGAAAATGGAGAGGGCTTGTGGCTAGATCTCACAATGAGAATGAAAAGCATGATCAGTTGGTATAAAGCAAAGATGACAGGTAAGGAAGTTGGAGGTGGAGAAGGGAAGCACAGTTGGTTATCTTGGAGGTAGAAGAGCTTCACAAATTGTCTATTGATGAGATCGGGATGATGGAGCATCAGAAGTATGATATTTAAATTCCTGAAGATGATAACAGGGAGACTCTGTAAGAAGAAATAATGTGAATTAGGTTACTAGAGTTATTTGAAGAAAGTGGAAGTGGGTATGGAGTATGAGGTAGATGATGGTAAAGAGTTAAACAAAGGCTGGTGTATGTAGGTAAATTACTATAAATAAGGGGAGGGGGAAAGTGATGGTGGCAGTTAAGTGGTCTTCCATTTGCCCTGGCAGCTGTTCCATTCTCTTGACTAGGTAATTGATAGAGGTAGATAAAAAGGCTGCAGGGAAGATGTGGGAGGTCATAGGAGGTCACATTTACACATAGTCTTTGAGGATGGGAGAAGCAAGGTGGTAGATTCATTTCAAGTTGTAAAATGAAGCCCTCAAAATAAAAGTAGTTGATTTTTTTTTTGCACAGATGTACAAATGTGTTACTTATACAGCTCTTCCTGTAAAGACTTTTTGACGTTAGTACTATTTACTATAAAGTAAAGTTCATTTTTTTGTACTAATGAAATTATTAAGGGATTAATACTAAAAATCTCTCTCTTTACTTAACTATGAATATATACAAGAGTAACCTGGCAGGTAATCTTCATTTGGAATATTAAAACTGTCTTGATTGGGCTACAAATAACTAATAGATACAAATCACTTGGGCATGATAGTGGTCCTTCCATGACAATGTTAATGTAGAGTCTATATTATAGCTTATGAAGCTTTACTATTAAACATACATATAGGAACATAATGTATTTTAGCCACTAAAAAAAAAAAAAAAAAAAAAAAAATCTAGTTAGGGGGATTCCCCTGGCGTTTAAAAGATGAAGCAGGAGCCGTTGGTAGCTGCTTTGTTATGTTTTTCTATATTGGTGGCCAAAATGATTCCTGTATTTATGGCATAATTTTCTGAAGGAAAAACTCTTTTCTGTGCCAAGGACTAAAAATATGAGAAGCAGACAAAAGGTAAATTGACAGAAATTTTCACTGTACTAATTAAGTGGGAAGTTACTGGTTCTTATTATAAAAGCCTCTTTATTTTTTCTGGAGAATCAGACTATATCCTGATAATCTGAAATCTTAAATACCAAAAACGTCATTTTAAATGGTACCTTTATTTTAAGTGGTTTTCAATGAATGACCTTTGGAATATTTTTAAAGATTGAGTTAAATTTCTTTTGAATCATAAGAAGAAAATACCTTAATTATGTCATTTATTTTAATTGTATTTTTGTGTTGTGTGTTTTTTCCCTCAGTTCCTGTTACAAAGAATATAGCAAAAACACAGCCTTCTCCTTCCAAAGCAACCCAGCGTTCAATGCAGTCTCTACAGAAAACTGCTGTAATATTACCAACACAGCAGATCAGGAAATCAGGTCGTACTAAACCACCTGCACATACTTCAGTCCCCAAGAAGGGGAGTTCTGTTAAAAATATCACACCAAGGAAAAAAGGCCCAAACTCAGGAAGAAAGGTTAGTTGTATCTCCTACTAATTTGCATTACAGGTCTCTGTAGTGCCTTATTATTAAACACACAGTTTAGGACTTACTAAGAGTGTTATGATGCCTTTTAGGAATGTACCAAGAGTGTATAAGGCTTTTTACAAGGTGGAGCGGGGAGGGGAACGGAAAGATTGGGAGTTTGGGACTAGCAGATGTAAACTATATATAGGATGGATAAACAACAAGGACCTACTATATAGCACAGGGAGCTATATTCAATATCCTTAAACCATAATGGAAAGAAATATGAAAAAGGATATATAGCTGAGTCACTTTGCTATACAGCAGAAATTAAACACAACATTGTCAATCAACTATACCTAATTAAAATTAAAAAATAAGTATATAAGGCTTTTTAAGGCCTGTGTAACAATCAAGATTGTTATTTCTTTTCTTGGATAAATTTAAAACTAAATAGTGTTCGACCTCTTCAAAACCACATTGAAAATACTGCATGGGTGTATTTATGTTCGAGCCAGTTTATTTAAAACTCAGTATATTTTAAAAATCAATGTGAAGTGAATTTTACTGTACATAGATTATACCTCAGTAAAATGGGGGTGAGGGGGAAATCAGTGTGATAAATTCAGTGATGCTAAAGTCACATCCTACCTAACTGACTCTCCCCCAAAGAAAACAACTCTAATACCTGGAAGTAATAGAAAAAGCAGCTACCCGAAGACACTGGAGAATGAATGGAAGCAGACAGACTGTGGTTGGGGGGAATACACATAGGAGGAGGGGTGTTATACGAAATGCTATATTCAGCAAACATACTCTTCAAGAATGAAGAACTAAGGACATTTTCAGGTAAAAGCATACAAAAAATTCATCACTGGCAGACAAACACTATAAGAAATGCTGAAGGAAGTTATCTCCAGGTAAAAATACTAATGACTTTCTTTTTGCTTTTTTCCTCTTAATTTCCTTATAAAAATAGGACTATTTAAAGCAATAATTATAATACAATACAGTCTTGTGGGGTTTATAACATACATAGATATAATACATAAAAAATTATAGTATAAAGGCTTAGGGGTTGGGGATATGGATTTGTAGCATTGCAAGGTTTCAACATTTTCTGTTAAGTAGTACAATATTAACTTTGTGTGGATTGTACATTGAAACTCCCAGAGCATATTGTAAAAATACAAATGCAAAGAAATATAGCTAAAAAGCCAATAGGAAAATTAAAATAGAATTCTAAGGACTATTCAGGTAATCAACAACAACAAAAAAGAGGAAAGTAAGACAGAGGAACAAAACACAGAGGAAACAAACAGAAAACAAATAATAAGTGGTAGACCCAGACCCAAACTTATTAATAATTACTTTAAAAATTAGTAAACTAAACTTTTCAATTAGAAGACAGAGATTATCAAAATGGATTTTTTAAAAGATCTAAATACATCCTGTCTACAAGAAATACGCTCTAAATATAAAGACATAGAATCTCTCTAGATCTGTTAGAACTGAGTTAAATTTCAGCAGTATTACCTTAAACATTTCTGAGTTCAGCCACCTGATATCAATATATATAACGTTTCTATTTTGTTACAACTAATGTTTGCAGTACGGAGCAAAATGACAATACCATTTTGATTTTAAAAACTTACATTGGTATTTTATTTTAAAAGGCATTCAAAATTTATAAAATAAAAATCAAAAGTCAGGGCTTCCCTGGTGGCGCAGTGGTGGCCTGCCGATGCAGGGGACATGGGTTCGTGCCCCGGTCCGGGAAGATCCCACATGCTGCGGAGCGGCTGGGCCCGTGAGCCATGGCCGCTGAGCCTGCGCGTCTGGAGCCTGTGCTCCACAATGGGAGAGGCCACAACGGTGAGAGGCCCGTGTACTGCAGAAAAGAAAAAAAGAAATCAAAAGTCAATAAAACTGAATATTTTTCAAATATAAAATCATAAATAATTGAAAAAATCAAATAAGCACATTATTCTAATGTAAATTCTTAGAAGATGAAATTTTTTAAATTAAAAATAAATTATAAGGGGACTTCCCTGGTGGCGCAGTGGTTAAGTCTCCACACTCCCAGTGCAGGGGGCCTGGGTTCAATCCCTGGTCAGGGAACTAGATCCCACATGCATGCCGCAACTAAGAGTTCGCATGCCACAACTAAGGAGCCCTCGAGCCGCAACTAAAGGAGTCCACCTGCTGCAACTAAGGAGCTGGAAAGCCACAACTAAGGAGCCCTCCTGCCACAACTAAGACCCAGTGCAACCAAATAAATAGATATTTTTTAAAAATAAATTGTATAAACTTAAGGAAAGTTAATGAAATTTAAAGGCAAATCATTTATTTTAAATGCATTTTAAAAATTAAAATGTATCAAGGGTGTCATTGATGCATATATTTAGTACATATTTTCCAGTTGCTGAAAAAGTCTTTCTGATTAGCTGGTATATGGTCAAGATATGATAACTCCAAAAAGTTTCTCTTCATTCTTTTACTTTCAAATAATTCCAATGCTGGTTTGACAATTTTGAAGAGATCTTTTTGAAAATATTGTTGTATGGTGGTGAGGAGGGGCAAGGGAAAGATAATGTAATTTTTTTGATAATAAACTTTTTTGTTGCAAAGGAAGCATTTCAATCCACCTTCATCTTTTTTGGCTTCATTATTTCATCATAAAAAGATGAAGATTCAACTCTTTGAACTAGAGTAAGAATTGTTTTTGCTGTACTCTCCTTTGTCAATTATTTTCTTCCCTTCCTTAAGCATTCTAGAAGTATGGAAGTGTGGAAGCACATTTTCCAAATAAATGTATTCAATTTACATTGTTAGTGCAAACACACTATTTTGGTATGTCTTAAGTCAAAGGATTTAGATTTTAGATTTTTAAAATACTGAAAGAACGAGAATATATTGACACAATAATTGTAATTTAGTATTTTCAAAATAATTTACTAAGATACTGTGAACCCAAATGACAGTCACTAATTTAAACAAATAAAGAAAAATCCAACAACACTGTTTGTGTTTTTCTCCTTTTTCCCTGCCTTTTAAATATCTTCTATTATTACCTTTTCTAGGCACAAGATCCCCTTCTCTGATACTGAAGAGTTGTGTTAGAAGATAGCTCCTAGAAAACCCCAAGAGTTGATATAAAATAAACAAAACACTAGTGATGTTAATAATACCCATGAGACATTTGGTTCTTACATACAATAGGCATAATTTTGTATGGACTTTAGCAAGCCACTGACAATTTTGTCATAATTATCGTATGTAATATGGAGAATTGCAGGCTAGATATGGTAAAAACCCAGATGAGTGACTGCTTTCTGAAGACAAACTTTGTCCTCTGCCTTGTTGAGGTCCCCCACCCTCATCTGATGAATTGCTGGATTAGATTTCCAAACTACTTCAGCAGTGTAAAAAACTTACTGGGAACCTCAAAAATAAAACAAGTTTTACAGAGTGAATTATTTTGGCTAAAGTGTGACTAGTTGGAACAGGGGGTAGCATTGGGAATCCCAGCCTCTTGGTCTCTTCCTCTCCTACCTGACCAGCTTATGGGCCCCTCTTAGGAGCACAGTTTGAAAAGTACTGCAGTTTGTGACACAGGGATTTCCAACCCAGAGGACTTCAGACAACTGATCATTTGTGAACCAGTGATGCCAATAATTTTATGACCTCCTTATCTAGGAATATTTTTTTTTTAATAGGAAAAACGTATTCCTGTTGTATGTTCCACATCTTCAGCTTCTGTCAGTATGCTGGCCAGAGGACGTGGTGGTGTTTTATATGATAAGGATACTGTTCCTGGATCATCTAAAATAGTGATGTCTACAGGTAAATTAATATTTTTAAAAGAGCGTAAAATTAGTTATCTTTTGTTGTATTATTTTCAGTGTCTTTGAAGTCCTGGAAATAAAATAAGAGGGAAAAAAGATGATAGTAAACATTTCTTATAGCATTTTTCATATTAAAATATTTTGAAATTCTGATTGTTCATTTTGATGTCAAGGAAAAACAGTCTGTTTAAATACATAAGTCACTTGAAAATTCAACACCCTTAAGATATCCCTCTTGGTAAGATTTATAAAATTTACATTATTGTCAAATCTATTCTTGTTTTCCCATGATCTCATTTCACAATTTGTCTTTTTTGTCTTGTATGTATTTTTAAGGTACCTCAAACCTTATTTTAATGCCTTATAAAATTTTCACAGATCCTTGCCTGTCAGGGGGCATGATGACTTTAAATTGTTTTTTGCTATGTGAAGAGTGTGAAATGACAGACACCCAAACTAGTCAGTCCCTTTTATTTGTCGTTTCCTGCAAATTTCCTTATTCCTTTCCTGTTACTTAAAGCAAGTTTTTTTGCTCCCTCTCCTAGATCCTTAATTATCTCTCTTACATTCTTCTGTTCCTTGGACTTTTCCCCTCAATTTTTCTTTTCTTATTAAAAAGAAATTATAATTTAATTTTTTGAAATAGAAATCACTTTAAAAATGATTATTGTAACATACCCCCCCCCCCTTTTTTTGGCTGTGTTGGGTCTTTGTTGCTGCGCATGGGTTTTCTCTAGTTTTGGCGAGCGGGGGCTACTCTTTGTTGTGGTGCACAGGCTTCTCGTTGCAGTGGTTTCTTCTCTTGTTGTGGAGCACGAGCTCTAGAGTGCAGGCTCAGTAGTTGTGGTGCACGGGCTTAGTTGCTTCGCAGCATGTGGGATCTTCCCAGACCAGGGCTCGAACCCGTGTCCCCTGCATTGGCAGGTGGATTCTTAACCACTGTGCCACCGGGGAAGCCCGTTACATACCTCATTTTGTCTCTTTATTATTTCTGATTTTTAGTCCATTAGGAGGGGAGCCTAGCTAAATGAGTATAAACATTGAAATCCTTGTTTAGCTCACTTGTGTTCAGTAGAACTTTGTCCATGCCATCAGCACCTCAGGTTAAGTTTTTAATAGGTGTTTCATTTCTGTGACAGAGTCTATCCTTCCTCTGGCTATTGCCACAAAGCTTAAGTATCATATATTTCAACATAGTGAAAGTGAGATTAATTTTTTTTTGTTTTTTTTTTTTTTGCGGTACGTGGGCCTCTCACTGTTGTGGCCTCTCCCGTTGCGGAGCACAGGCTCTGGACGCGCAGGCTCAGCGGCCATGGCTCATGGGCGTAGCCGCTCTGCGGCATGTGGGATTTTCCCGGACCGGGGCACGAACCCGTGTCCCTTGCATTAGCAGGCGGACTCTCAACCACTGCGCCACCAGGGAAGCCCTTAATGGGTTTTTATTGTACTAAATATAGACTGTATACATGAAAATTTTGCAATAAATTGAGTAGTGGATAAAAATAATGTGCCTCTTGATTTAGGGGGACAATATATTTTCTGTTAATAATTATATTACGTTGTGTGTTAATTTGTATTTGTTGATTCTCAGTGAAGAAAAATTATAGAAACTTGACTGATTGTGATTATAGATTATTTGCTTCTAAATTCTAAATGCTTTTATTATACGAAGGGAAGCATTTATTTTTAAAATTTTCTTCCATGAACCTCGGCATGTATATAAAGAACATTTTTATTTTCTTAAAAATTAATGAAAAGGGCTTCCCTGGGGGCGCAGTGGTTGAGAGTCCGCCTGCCGATGCAGGCGGACATGGGCTCGTGCCCCGGTCCGGGAAGATTCCACATGCCGTGGAGCGTCTAGGCCCATGGGCCATGGCCGCTGAGCCTGTGCGTCCGGAGCCTGTGCTCTGCAACGGGAGAGGCCACAACAGTGAGAGGCGTGTGTACCGCAAAAAAAAAAAAAAAAAATTAATGAAAAAAATTTCTCTAGGTCATTAGAACTTACTGTGACACATATCTGAAATGATTTGGTTACTTTAGAAAATACTATATAACGAGAGTGCAATATTGTTGATTTAAAATAAATTCAGTCCAAAAGGAGTGTGCTAATATGACCAGTTTTGAAAGAAAATTCTTATACTGTGATTACTGTTAAAAAGTGAAAATATTCTTGACTTTAAGCCATTTTATATAACCTGAGAATGTGTGAAGAATTGTTTTATGATGTTACTAAAACTTGTATTGTTTTTATTATAATCAGTTTGGGCAGAATTCTAGAAAATTGAATAAGCATTTGGATTATTTATTTCTAGATTTCATATAGTTACAAAATGTGAAAATATATTTACATACATATTTTTAGGTAGCAGAAATGATCACCGATAGTAACTATGTTTAGGTTATCTTTGAGTGAAGCGTGGCTAATGGGATATACAGTGATTGATTATGTAGTGTTTATGTTCCTTCTAACCAATCTCATTGTTTGTTATATCTATATACACATTTTTAATCAAGTCTGTGTCTATGTAAACAAATATGGAAGCTCTGGCCCTTACCTGGATCAGAATAAAATCCAGCAGCTGCCCGATCACTTTGGCCCAGGCCCTGTCAATGTGGTGCTCCGGCGGACGGTGCAGGCCTGTGTGGATTGTGCCATTCAAAGTAAGACTGTTTTTGGATTCCTTAAGCCAGATGATCGTGGAGGAGAAGTGATAACCGGTATGCTCATCTAATCCTTTATGAGCTTTTATTCCCTAATTTGTTTTTAGGTTTCAAGAAGGCAAGGATTTTATAATACATAGATTATTTTATAAATTTATATTCTGTTAACTATAATATTTGAATACTATATTAATGTAATAGAATATGGATAATAATTATATGTTTATAGACTTTTAACCCTGGTTTGGAAAGTTTAACTTTCAAAATAGACAAATAATGTCAGAGTAATACTGTATATTGAGGTAAGAGGTACAGATTTTTCCTTTTACCTGCTGTATTAAGCTCACTATAGATAAAGTGAGCTTAATATATTTTAATATTTTTAGAAAACAGACTAATCTGTAAGAATCTCTAAGTAAAAAATGTGATTCAAGAAGTAAGAGGTAAGATACACATGGCTTTCATGATTGTATGATCAGATACTGCATTTGTACCCATGGAATGTTTGGAAGAGCAGAAACTATTGTACATCAGTGGGTTTCTGTTGTTGTTGTTTACTTTATGAATATTTTTAAACGAGAATGCTTTTATTAGTTCAGACTATGTGTTTGAATGAGAGGAACTTTTATAATTTAAGATTATTCCTTTATAAATTACAAAAACCACACGTTAGATTTATAATACATTTCCTAAATTGATGACTTTCATTTTGATGTGGTTCTCATCTTTCTGTGATGTAACTCTGACATCTTTTCTTCCTTATAATAGCCTCCTTTGATGGGGAAACTCATTCCATCCAGCTCCCTCCAGTGAACAGTGCATCATTTGCTCTTCGCTTTCTTGAGAAATTGTGCCACAGCCTGCAGTGTGATAACCTTTTGAGTAGCCAGCCTTTTAGCTCTTACAGAGGTAATGGTCATAGTCCTGCAGAGCATGATCAAAATAATTCAGGTAAGAGAAAATGTAAAATTTTATACTGTGCTTCTATTTTATATTAGATTCTACATTAACTTGAGAATCTTAAATAATTCAGTTTTTCCTGCGTCTTCCTCAAAGTAAACCTTTTAGCCACAGTGAACTAATTAGACATGTATAATATATAGTTTTTGTTCATTCAAAGTGGAAAAGTAATTTCTTATTGTATTCATAATTAACTTGAGAATCAAAACCTGAAACGTGTATCATTGTGGGGTCTTTTTGTTTTTTAAAATTTATTTATTTATTTTTGGCAGCGTTGGATCTTCGTTGCTACGCATGGGCTTTCTCTAGTTGTGGGGAGCGGGGGCTACTCTTCGTTGTGGTGCGCAGGCTTCTCACCGCGGTGGCTTCTCTTGTTGTGGAGCATGGGCTCTAGACATGCAGGCTTCAGTAGTTGTGGCTTGCGGGCTCCAGAGCGCAGGCTCAGTAGTTGTGGTGCACGGGCTTAGTTTCTCCGTGGCATGTGGGATCTTCCTGGACCAGGACTCGAGCCCGTGTCCCGTGCGTTGGCAGGCGGATTCTTAACCACTGCGCCACCAGGGGAGCCCCCCCAGTCCTCTTTTAAGTACTGTCTGTATGGTATATTTTTTCCCATCCTTGTACTTTCAACCTATTTGTGTGTTTGAATTTAAAGTGTAAGTTTGTAATACAACTTTAAAAAAAACCCATTCTGCCAATCTGATTTTTTACTGGAGTGTTTATTTCATGTACATTTAATTTAATTACTGATAAGGTAGGATTTACATCTACCATTCTGTATGTCTCTCTTTTTTTTCGGGGGGGGGTAGTCTTTTCCTCCATTACTGCCTTCTTTTGTTTTAAGTAGATGTTTTCTTGTGTACCATTTTATTTTCCTTGTTCTTTTTACTATTTTTTTGAGTTATTTTCTTAGTTAGTTGCCTTGGGGATTACAATTAACATCTTAATTTAAAACAGTCTAGTTTGGATTAATACCAACTTAATTTTAATATTATGCCAAAACTTTGCTCCAGCATAGCTTTGTTTTCTGCCCACTTCTTTGTGCTATTATTGTCATACAAATTATATTTTATACGTTATAAGCTCCCAAATACAGTTTTATAATTATTGCTTTTTTAAAAAAGAAATTTATTTATTTTATTTATTTATTATTTTTGGCTGCGTCAGGTCTTCGTTGCTGCGTGTGGGCTTTCTCTAGTTGTGGCGAGCGGGGGCTATTCTTAGTTGTGGTGCATGGGCTTTTCATTGCAGTGGCTTCTCTTGTTGCAGAGCACGGGCTCTAGGCGCGTGGGCTTCAGTAGTTGTGGCTTGCGGGCTCTGGAGCACAGGCTCAGTAGTTGTGCCTTGCAGGCTCTGGAGCACAGGCTCAGTAGTTGTGGCGCACAGGCTTAGCTGCTCCGTGGCATGTGGGATCTTCCTGAACCAGGGCTTGAACCTGTGTCCCCTGCATTGGCAGGTGGATTCTTAACCACTGCGCCACCAGGGAAGTCCTATAATTATTGCTTTATGTAGTTGTCTTTTAAATGAGAAAGGAGAAGAAAAGAGTTATAAACACAAATATATTTACTGGTACTGTTTTTTTTTTTAATGTGGATTTAAGTTATTCTCTATTTTCATTTCAACTTGAAGGAGTCTCTCTAGTATCTCTTATAGGGTAACTCTCTACAAGTGAGGAATTCTCTCAGTTTTTCTTTATGGAGAATTTCCTATTTTCTCCTTCAGTTTTTAAAGTTTAGTTTTGCTAGATATAGAATTCTTGGTTGACCGTCTTGTTTCAATGCTTTGAATATGTCATCCCACTTCCTTCTAGCCTCTGTAGTTTCTGATGAGAAGTCAGTTGCTAATCTTATTGAGGATCCTTTGTATGTGATGATTTGCTTTTCTCTTGCTGATTTCAAGATTCTCTTTGTCTTTTGCTTTTGGTGGTTTGACTTTTTTCTAGGTGTGGATATCTTTGCATTTATCATAATTGGAGATTCTTGTGCTTTTTGGATTATGCAGATTAATGTTTTGCATTAAAGTTGGGAAGCTTTTAGACATTATTTCTTCAAATAGTCTTTTTGCTCCTTACTCTCTCTGTCCTCTCCTTCCAGGACTCTCCCATTATGTTTATTCTGGCATGCTTGATGGTGTCCCACAGGTCTCTGAAGTCTGTTCATTTTTTCTCTCTCTCTCTCTTTTTTTTCCTGTTCCTCAGACTATATAATCTCAATTGACCTCTTAAAAAATTTGGTGATTCTTTCTTCTGCTAATTCACATCTGCTGTTGAGCCCCTCTAGGGTTTTGTTTTGTTTTTTAAATTTCATTTATTATACTTTTCAAGTCGTGAATTTCTATTTGGTTCTTTTTATAATTTTTATTGCTTTATCGATAGTGTGAGACATTGTTCTTACACTTTGCTTTAGTTCTTTAGACATGATTTTTTTTAAGTTCTTTAAACATATATAAAATAACTGACTTGATATCTTTGCTTAGTAAGTCCAGTGTCTGGGCTTCCTCAGAGGCAGTTTCTGTTGACTTTTTTTCCCCCTGTGTATGGGTCATACTTTCCTCTTCCTTGCATGTCTCCTAATTTTTTAATTGAAATTTAAAAGTAATATAACGTAGCAACTCTGAAAATTAGGTTCCCTCCCCCTTCATAGGCTCTGTTGTTGTTGCTGGTGCTGTTTGGATTTTTAGTGACTCTCCTGGACTAATTTAATGACTTTTCCAGGTCTAATTTTGTTATATGTGGCTACTGAAGTCTGTTCACTTAGCTTAGTGGTCAGCTAATGATTGGACAGGGATTTTCTTAAGTGCCTGGAACCAGTATGTCTCCCAGCCTTTGCGAAGGGGTTCATAGTGTGTGTTGGGACTTACCTTGAACATTCCAGGAGGCAGTTTACAAATCTGCTTTGTGCAGAGCTTCAAGGTCAGCAAAAAATGAAAGATTATGGCCTTCTAAAGTCTTCCTGAGCATTCATACAACCATGTACATACATATGGCCTTGTAGATTCCCAGGAATATCTCAGTGCTTTTCAGAGTCCCCTAATGGACATCTCATTCTCCAGTTTTTCCTTTTAAGCTTCTTGGTCAGCATCTTGTCAGCCCCAACTGGTAATACTACCTCTGGAAGCTGCAGTGTTAAACAATTGCCATTGTTGTGGGTTTTTTGGTTTGGTTTTGGTTTGGTTTTTGACCAGTGCTTTGGATAGGGCTGTTACACAGAGCAGGCTCTGATTTAGGTCAAATAAAATAAGCCCAGAGATCAGAGGTTTTCAGTGAGCTGCAAGATTGATCAAATAGTGACACTTCTCTGTGGGTGGAGCTTTTGGAGAGTTCCAAATCCTTTGTGCCCCCTTCAGTGCTAGGCTGGCTGCTGGCTTTCACAGCTACTGTAGTTGCGAAGCTGTTGGTTTGCAAGGCTGCTGCAAAACTGGGGTGAATGGGATTATATTAGGGAAGGTAAAATGCCACAGAATTTGTTGTTCTTTCTGAGATTCAGCCATTTTTCTTGAATAAAATGCTTTTTGGGTTGTTGTAATCCTTTAGTTAACGTCCACAATTTTGAAAAAGTTAATTTTGCCAGCGCTGTCATTATTTTTATGAAGGAGTGGATTTTCTGAAGTCCTTAATCAGTCATCCTGGAAGTGCTTCTCTATGATGACTTCTGAAGTACTTTGTAAATTATCTGGCCTTTTCTAGTTATCTCTGCAGGAACAGTTTCATGCCTGAGCTCACTACGATACCCAGAAGCAGAAGTCAAGAATCAGTTTTATGTTTGTATCAACCTCAGATAGTAGACCATATACCAGCTTCATAAACTTTTCATAAAGAATGTATTATAATATTACAAGTAAAAGATAAGTAAAGACTTTTTCTGATCTTCCTATGATTCTGAGGTAAATATCTATAGAAAACTATAGAAACTGTATATTTTAGTACTCTAATTTTCTGTATCATTAAATGGGTATGAAAAAAGTCAATTATTTCTCTTCTTAGAATTTAACTGTCCCTAATTGTAGAAATATCTCTCATTCACTGAAGTATGTTTTGCCTGTTAGTTTTGTAGTTGATGATTAAAAATAAAATCAAATGGTGAGAGCTCTCTTAGACTCATTAGTAATCAGTCAGTAAATGGATGGCTAAAGATTGCTCATCAGACGATTTTGAGAGGCATGCCTGGCCCCCAGCCATTTTGAACTAGATGAAGTTTGACTTTGGTACTTTCTCATTGCAGTCTTTCTTCTCTCTGGAGGTCTGTTATCCTACTTTATAGATTTCTATTGCACTTTGTTTTTCCTTTTAGTTGGAGATTAAATCAAAATACTGATCGATAATGTAGTGTAACGTAGTCTAATGTAGTGTAATTAATAAATTGAAATGTCTTTATTTTCAGGATTATGCCTTAAAGTGTGGTCCTTTAGGAAGAAATGCATTTGGTTGATGATAGGTAACCAGTAGGATTGTTGTAAGTGTACCCCTAGGCCAGGATTGTTGCCTATAAAATGGAGTGTTCATTGTACCCTATCTTCTCTTTAACTTCTCTGAATTCTTAACTTTTCTTGCTCATGGGAGCAATTTTCCCAGGTCTTTTTAGACACATTACAATTGGTTGCCTCACTGTTGGCCTGTGAGAGTTAGAAAGATGTGATGACCCTAGAATAAATGAAGCCTAAACATAGTGCCTTTAACCCTTGAATATAATATCACTGAAATATTTAATAGGATGAAATGAACACATCTTGTTCATAAATAATTGATAAATTATTGATGAAGTTATAGTAGGCAAATGATTTAGAAACAAAAGTGTTTTATGCTGATGATATGAAAACGCTTGAGTATATTAATTAGTTATAACAGATATTTCTTTTTTTGAAAACAGTAAAAGAAGATACAACAGAAAAGAAAAGCACCAAACGACCTTCTCAGGAACCTCTGCCTTATGTTGCTACTCTCTCTCCTAAGCGCCCCAAAACAGAAGTGCATGCCTCTGAAGGTAAATAGTATTTACATGTTGCAAGACTGGGGAGAAAAGTCACTCTTCTATCACTTATATGCTCTTGAGTGTTGATGCTGGAAGTTGGGGAATATATTCCCCCAAATCAGTTTGGCAGTTAGGCTACTACTTTGGCAGCTTTGTTGAGCACTTCATTCCCTTCAGAAGTGCACAGTTGTCATTTCTTCTTAGATTAAAGAAAAACAGTTATAGCCATATTTTCCATTCAGCTTTATATTGCTAAAAGCTGATAGAAAGAGGAATAGAAAAACCTAGTACATTTCTCCAGTGAAAGTTTTAAGTGCCCAAGGAGTAAGCAAATGTTAGAAGCCAACTCTGTGATCATATTGTAACAAAGAGTTGTGAAGAACTGCATTCCTAAAAATAAATGCTTTAGTGAGGTGTTCATAGTTTTGGTGGCAAGACTGGCAAGGGTTCGTTGCCATGAGAAAAATAGGTGATATCATTAGAATCAATTTGAATTTCAGGACAGTGTCCATTACTATAAACACCAAGAAGGGGATGGCCATGTGCTTTGTGTTAGAGGTTTGTGGTTCAGTATAGCATGGCTTAAGTGAACTATTGTTGGCAGTTAGGGGATTTTTGACCTTTTAATAGTATTCGAGCTGTAAGTCTGATGAAGATAATTGCCTTTGTCTTTTTTCTTATTGCCTTTGTCTTTTTTTTTCTTGTAGAAGAAGTATTATCTTCTGAGGGAAATGGCATGCCCAAAGGGGAAATGCTTTCTGAAGAGTCCAAAAACTCACCACTAAATCCAGCAACTTCTTTGAATCCTGCCAGCACAAATCCTATAAGCACTCATACTCCGGTCTCCAGTAGTGTTTCTCAAAGTGTGCCATGCACCTCGAGTTCAACACTGGTAGGGACCGAATCACCTCCCAAGAGCAGTCACCATGAAGTTACATTCCAGATGCAGAGGAAAAGTGAAGGTATATTCAAAAACAGTGATTCTCAGCCAGTGTGTTTGTCTTTCCCCTTAAGGTTTCCATGCCCCACAACATCCCCTGAGAGTTTATCGCATTGGAGAAAGTGCCAAAAGTGAGGAGGTCGAGTCCTCCCCTTCACATCATTTTCAGGGCCAAGCTGCTACACATGCTCTAATCCTCATGGCATTACAGAACTATTTCTGGGAATCTGGATCACCAACCATGTTTCTGATGGAGACTTCTCAGTTTAGTGCTTTTCTATCCATTGTAATTTATCATTTCCTTGGGTACTGCCTGGACTCACAACCCTCACATGACTCTGAGGCCTGGAAGGATGCACTCCCTCTTCTTTCTGACGTCCTCTCTTCCTTGTCCCTATTGAGACCTTTCCTGGCCCCAGCCTGTGTGTGGTTCCCAGATCTAGCCTCTGGCATTCTGTTGCTGCAGGCGTTTCCCCATTTTCCACACTCCCAGTCATTCCCTCAGACCCCGCAGGAGAACATGATATGTATAAACAGGACAGCATCCTACTCTTCATTTGGAAAGAGCCAGAGCAGCCTTCCATGTGCAAAGATAGCTACTATCCTGTACCCTTTTAAGGGTTAAGGGTGCTGTGGTGAGAGGAATAAGTGTTTTGTCTTTTGTCACCAGATAGGCATCTAGGCAAGGTTGAGGAGTAAAGGAAGTAGGAATCAACTAACTCCCCTGCCTTTCATAATGGATATTATCTATGGGCAACTGCACTGTACACATGCTGTGATACATTTAATATCGTCACCCCCATCTCCTACTCGGTGTAGATTGTCTCTGGTTTTGGAGTGATTTTTGTAGAGAGACTGAAGATAGATGTTCATTTTATAAAGGGGTCACTGAATTTTTAGATATTTTCACAATATATGAGTTCATGAAGACAGGCCTTCTGATCTCCTAGTGTATATAAGACAGAGCCATTAAGGAGAAGAGCATGACTGGACTTTGATTATTTTTCACATAATTATTTATTTCATGTAATTATTTGAATAACACTAATGTTCATAACTTTCTCTGATTATTTTGAAGATGTGGGCCCAGTTAAATTATTTTCCATGATAGATTAGAAATAGATGAGCTCACAGTTGTTCTATTTTTATTTTTTTAATTTTTTATTTTTTAAAATTTTTAAATAAATTTATTTTATTCATTTTATTTTTAGCTGTGTTGGGTCTTCGTTGCTGCACGCGGGCTTTCTCTGGTTGTGGCGAGCGGGGTTACTCTTTGTTGCAGTGCGCGGGCTTCTCATTGCAGTGGCTTCTCTTGTTGCGGAGCATGGGCTCTAGGCATGTAAGCTCAGTAGTTGTGGCGAGCGGGCTCTAGAGCGCAGGCTCAATAGTTGTGGTGCAAGAGCTTAGTTGCTCCGGGGCATGTGGGATCTTCCTGGACCAGGGCTCAAACCCATGTCCCCTGCATTGACAGGCGGATTCTTAACCACTGCGCCACCAGGGAAGCCCGTTTTATTTTTAATATAAAATTATAATTTTATACCAGAAATCATATCTTTACATATAGTTTATTTGTAGTAATCCGTAAAAGTAGTTATATGTTATTCAAAGCATAACTATACCAGATTCTGATGACAGAAACCAAAAATCCCACACAAATATAAGTTAATTTAGAGGTATGGTTAGCCTTGCCAGTAATTTTTTTTTTTTTTTTTTTTTTTTTTTTTTGGTACCGGGGCCTCTTCCTTTTTTATCCTCTCCCGTTGCAGAGCACAGGCTCCGGACGCACAGGCTTAGCGGCCATGGCTCACGGGGCCTAGCCGCTCCGCGGCATGTGGGATCTTCCCGGACCGGGGTACGAACTCGTGTCCCCTGCATTGGCAGGCGGACTGTCAACCACTGTGCCACCAGGGAAGCCTCACCAGTAATTTTTTAAGTATTAAATTGAGTCTGTTTTGAGTTAAAGGAGAAGACTTTTCTGTCTGGATTGTTAGAATGCCTTAGGCATGGCATGGTCTATACCATTATCGTTTTTACTTGGGTTGATACAGCCCAGCAGCATTTCTTGGTAGACCAACATTTTTATCTCTGACAAGTAGAAAGTAGGATAGATTTTACTAAAGACTTTTTATTTCATATCAAAGTTACGCTATTTAAAAAGAAAATAAATAAGATTTACCATTGTGAGTTCTTTTATCTTCTGTTTTCTTTGCCCTTTCCCTGGGTGAATACTCAAAATACTCATAAAATGGCCGGAGCCCAGAGGATAGGAAAGAAAAGGTGTACTTTTGGCTAATTCACACATACAAAAATATTAAATTTGTATTGACGGTCCTTGTTTAGAGAAACAAATCCTCCTAGCAAATTACAAAACCCACTTCTCTTATCATACACTAACTTTAGAGAGTCAAGTACTCTGGTTGAGTAAATGAATGCGTGTCTGGACACAAAGAAATTTCAATACAGTGTAGTTAACGGCACAGCTATAACTTTTTGAGGTATGAGCACTTAAATTGTTTCATGTCTTAGTTAGTTCTTTTTTAAACATATAAACCTTCAACCAAAATATCTATTACTATGCAGTGAAACTTGAAAGAGGCATTCAGTATAATGTTAAAGTTATTTCTGACCTAGCTAAGCACAAAATAATCTTGTTTTCTTCAAAATTCAGATAAGCATTAAGGCTTGAGAAACAGGAATTTAAAGAGTAAAGTGATGCTAAAAACCATCCATATTGAATACATTAAAGTGAATAAAATTAAGCAACTATCAAACTGTAAATTCTGGGGATTTCCACTGCAATTAGCTAGTAAAATAAACCTAATCTGGAGATATCAAGAGGAGAAAGATTGAGAGAAATTCTTTGAAATATTTAAAGTAAGAAAGCAATAAGTTAGCTTAGATTAGCCTAATTTAACCCAAGTAACAGATCTTTTGCTGTATTTTCCTGTGGCCAAAGTGGCCTCGGATTGCTCAGTCTCTTTTATGATCTTTGGAACTGTAAGGTGTCTTCCGAAGCTGCTTTTGTTGTTTGGGGGAGGTCAGGTGGGACATTCTTGAGTAGCCATCCTCAGGTCATCTTTGTCTAGGCTTTCCCTGGATTTTACCTTGGAGTCCTGGGTCCATGCCGGGGTACTTCACACAAGGTTCCAGGGATGAGACAATTACTCCCTACCTAACATCTCTTCTTTCAGGATAATGATCAGGTCAAGTATGATTTGTCTTTTTTCCCCCCATTGAAGCTCCAAGTTATATAGCTGTACCTGACCCCAGTGTCCTGAAACAAGGCTTCTCTAAGGACCCTTCAACCTGGTCTGTGGATGAAGTGATACAGTTTATGAAACATAAAGATCCTCAGATATCAGGCCCCCTCGTCGACCTCTTCATGCAACATGTAATGTATCTTTTGATCCGGTTTTCCTGCCGTAATGACTTTGAATGACCTCTGTGCAGGCCCTTCAGTTGGATACTGATTAGTGTGGATGGTGGGGGAACCCTATCAACTGATTATTCCATATGCGAGAAAGTTTACTTTGCCCAAAGTTAAAGCCTTAAAGGGTGGAGGCTGGATCTGTGCTTTAAATGGGTACCCGGGTACCTAAAATACTACAAGTCTTCAAGTTCTCAAGAGAAGATGATTCGGCATGGCCACTCTCAGGTTTCTTCTCCTTTCTAACAACAGCTACAAGGATCCTCCTCCCCACCTGCTCCCTGCTCGGCCCGAGGACCGTGAGTAGGAGGGGTGACCACAGCTGTGACAGGGTGTCCTCCTTGTTATGACGCCTGATGAATCCAGTAACTGTAAAAGATTAAGTGCAGCTTTATTTTAAATAGGAACTCATGAAAACCAAATAATATGCTTCCACGACAATAAATTGCTTAATTAAGGAAATAAAGAATTTTAGGAGGATGCCTTGTGTCTGTTAAATAATGTTTATAGTCTTTTCTAACAAATTCATGACCAAATATCTATGTATCCTTTTTGACGTTGTAAGAAAATCAGTAATAAGTTTTCGTATCTAATTAGCTTCACACAACTAACTGAATAGCTTTCAACATAATGACAACACTGTATAGCACATTTACAGTTTGCGTTAATACTGATATACTCATATTCCCAGCCTTTCTAAGAAAGTTAATGACTGTCTGAAATTCATTTCTACAGTTCACAGTTTTCTACTCTTTGTCATAAATACGTGGTATTTTATTCAACATATAGTATTTAAAATCAGAGTTTGATGCTAAGGCCATTTTTCAAAGATACTGGGTTAAATTTCCTTTTTCTTAAAATTTGAAGTGAATTTAGAAATTTTCAAATGATGCTTCACATATAAGTTATATTTTTAATAGTTTTCAGGAAATAAATGCATATTCAGAGAATATATGTTGAGAATGTACAGCTGCTCCCTGTTTTACATGTTCTTATATGTACGTAACGTGACAAAACATGAAATCAGTATTAGTAATTATAATTTCTTTCTCTCTGTAGGAGATTGATGGGAAGGCTCTGCTACTACTCAAAAGTGATGTGATGATGAAGTATATGGGGCTGAAGTTGGGGCCAGCCTTAAAGTTATGTTATTATATTGAAAAACTTAAAGAAGGAAAATATAATTGAAAAAAAATGTGTAAGTTTAGACATAATTTTCAATTGTCTTGATAACTTTTTAATTTAAAAATATTTTTATTCTCATAGCAGTTTTTGTTCTGTAGACAGTTCCTCTAAAACTACGTTATATCCAGAATTGCAGAAGTACATTACAAGTCCAGTCTACTTCTTTAAAACACATTAACATGTTAGTATTAGCATATTCAACTTGGCAGTCCTTTATGTCTTTTTATTATTTTACACTTTACAATTTATTATTTAATTGTACAGTTTACAAATATACTTAATGCAGGAAACAGAGAAACACCATTGATTTTGATTAATGTTTATATGTAAAACCAAAACAGCTACATCCCAAAGGGGGGAAAGTATCAGGGACTGACAGGCTCTCTAGTGAAATCCATGAGAAATTTTCCTTAGAAAAGAATTTAAAGATGCAACTGTAGATATCATCTCTTTTTCAAATATTTTATGTCTGTTACTGCAATGTTCTGTTTGTGTTCTACCAATTTCCGGAAAGGGAATAGCCATATAAATTATTTTCCTTTCGTTATTATTTCTCTGTATGTTGTGTTTGTTCATATTTAAAGAAAAAAAACAAGCTTATAAACTTTCATAAAGTGTTCTTATCAGTTTTTGATAAATTTCAAACAATTGTAAGATAGAATGGTTGTTTTATGCAGGAGATATTATACTACAAGTGTAGTTTGGATGGAGTCTGATTAAAATTTTTCAGTGAAATACCCATTATTTCAAAACTTTACATATTTTTTCTAAGCTTAGACATTTAACTAGGCATTCATTTCTCATATCTCTATATGAGGACACCTGTGCCCAAATTTTTAAAATATATATATTTTATTGTCTGTTTATTCTTCATACAGATACTATACCATATTTATATATTATTCTATACCTGTAGGTATTCAAACAAATCTGTTGTTTTTGAATTTAATATGGCACTTTGCACTGCCACAGAGGTAATGGTGAACTATTTATATAGTTGGATGTTTTTATTCTGAAAAATATACGTGCATCATTTGCTATCACTAGTACCTCTCAGCTTAGTCTTCAGGGGATAAGAAACAATCCATAGATTGGTTTCCATACAGGGAAGTTCTCTGTCCTATGCAATGTTGCTAGTTAATTTGCTTAGTTCTGAGCCATTTATTCTGCTAAATTTTGGAAGATGCATTAATTCAGCCTTATCATTTTGGGCTTTATTTTTAAAGTTAGAACTTTCAAGGGGAAATGGTGCTATATGTTTATTGCTAATTAGTTTGTATAAGTTTGGTGTAATGTTAATAAGCTATGAGAATCTGTGCTAAAAGTATTAGCCATTTGTTATAAATGCCAATAAAATGTACACCAGGGGCAAGAATGTACATTTTCTTTTTTAGAAAACCAAATGTACTTTATATGAGAATGCTTCTATTTAAAGGGTGGTTTCATCTATGTTATTCATTTTGTGTTATAAGACAAAATTCTAATTTAAACTTGGTCTTCTCTCAAATTGTTTGTGTGAAGATGCTGTGCCCAGTTAAACAGTCCTCAGGTGTTTGTATAAATACTGTTTTACAGTTTTCAGATTTTAAAATATAATAAAGTTTAATAACCACAGCCATTAATGTCAGAGCCTCAGATTTGATTTTACTTGCTTTCACCACATTATATTAATGTATGAATCAGCTATAGTTGAAAAAGCAGCACTCTAGTAAGTTTGTGGCTTTATATGTCCAAATACTTGGTTTTAACACTTGCCATTCCTAGGAGCAAAGGGCTGATCTTTTGCAGGGGCCTTAAATGAGACCCCGGGGAAGCAGTAAGAAGTTAAATCAATGAGTTTTATCTGTACTCAAGTTAGTTGGCAGTGATGCAAGTGTGCTAGAAAATGCCAGTGCCCCCATATATCTCATCCCACCTGAGTTCATGTATCTGGCTGGCAATTCTAGCTGCTTTTTTACCACTGGGGGCCAGAAGCCATACTGCTACTCAGCCGTCAGCTCTCCCACCATAACTGGTGGAAAAGCCCTAGAGGCTCAGGGTTGTGGTTGAATCACCTTCAAGATCCGACCCCTCAGCCCACCCGCACCAGGAGCTGCTGCCTTGGAACCCAGAAACTGTTACTGCTGTTAATTGGAGACAACCGGGCCATAACTGAGGCTCCAGGGATGATGATCTCAAGTAACTGGAATGGAGGTGTCAATTTTCACTATCTGGTTTGTAAATTTTTGTCCAGAGACTGTCATGCAGTGTTAGCGCGGGTTAGCTGTGAACTTAATTATCTTTGCTCTAGTTTTCCCCCTCAGTCCATTCTTCAACTTTCTGTAGGCAGCAGGATTCTGCAACTTGAGCTCTAAAGCCCTCTGGGTACATTGAGCATGTGCTTTTCTGTCTTCTGTCTACGTGATTTCTAATTGTTGGAGTGTCTTATGGTACATGGTTCAGAATAGAATTTCCCAGACTTTTAAATTGGTACTCCCTCTGTAAACATGAAAAAACCATGCCCTTCTGTAATATTAGAAATTAAAAATTAAACATCATGACTAGCAACAGTGATTCTGGGAGGAAAAGTGCTGCTTTTTCAAGCTACATAAGGGACTGTACTCAAAGTTGGTTGAGTAAATGAAGTATGTTTAAATTTCTGGGGCTGTTTCTACAGTGTGATGTGAGGACTTGCTTATATTTTTAAGCGCTCTGACGTTGATCCAGGGAATGGAGAGAGCTCTTAGGGAGGACATGTAAGCCAGGGCCCACCTTCAGAACACATGGTGGACAGTTTGTGTCTGATCCCTCCTGACGTTTCCCCTGTTTTGTCCAGCATTTTGATGAAATTGAACCTTGAAAGCAGCTCTCCACAATGATCGCATACTAAGACCAAGCTTGCCCACTCTCCCTGCAGTACAAGAGGCAACAGCAAAGACTTTATTGTATCATTCAGTCTTTGACATAAGGAAGCAAAATTAAAGGGCAGATACTGGTATAATTAAAAAGGCATTATTGATAGACATTAGATTCAAAGAGAAAATTCACTGTTAAGAATCCATGGAGCTTTCACAAAATTGAGTACATACTAAGCTACATAGAACACTCTGAATCACAGGAAACAAAGTTAGTACAGGCTACAGTCTGGGACATAAAATTCAGAAGTTAATGAGATACTTCTGAAATGCTAACAAGAAAAACAATAAGCACCCCTACCTTTGTAGCCACAGCTTCTTTCCTGAACTTTCTCCTTGAGTTCTAGGCCTGGGTGTGTCACTGTCTACTGATGTCTCCACCTGCAAGCCCACAGCATCTCCTCCTCATCACACCTGAATCTTTCCCCACCTTCCTTTGCTGATGTGCCCCTCTCCAGTCCCTGCCTTAACAGCGCCTCACCCACTGATGCATCCGGGCACCTGACAGAGTGCCTGCCAGTGTTGGCCTCAACTCCTCATCGTCCACAGCCCACCGCAGCCCTGACGTCACCTGGTCCCAGGCATCCTACCTCTCACAGCTCTCTCTCGTCTGGGCCCCCCGGTCTGTTGTTTCCCGAGTTTGCTGCCAGATGCCACTTCAGAAATGCTAAGTTTCTTTCCTATGAGCACTTCCAGAGCTGATACTTTTATTATTGTATTCCCAGGATTTAGCATGCTATCTCCTACATAATAGATACTTAGATGTTGGTTGACGGAAAAAAACACAAAAGCAAATTTTCTTCTTAAAACCACGGCCGTTTCCAGTACCTCTCCCAGTTTACAAGAAAATCATTTTTATTGATGCTTGTACTTCATTAATGCAGTGTGGCTCCCCGCCACCACCATGGAGCAGCTCAGATGTGTCTGAACAGTAATGGGAGATGGCCGATCCAGAGGACTCTGAGGGCAAAGGCAGTTAGGCCCAGAGATTTGGGGCTTGTTGTAGGAGAACTGAAAAAATCCCTCATCTTTATGAATATACTGAAAGATTTGTCAGAGACACAAATGAAGTGCTTTCAATAAATCTGTTGGTGTTTTGCATGCGCGCGCGTGTGTGTGTGTGTGTGTGTGTTTGTTTAACTAGGATTTGAAGATGTAACTGTGAGCTGTAAACCCTTAAGTTTAACGAAGCTGTCCCATGTCCTACTGACAATTTATATCTTATGTCTGCAAACCAGTTGGCTGGGTGGTTCCATTTTGATTGAGCCAGGCTAATATTTTTCTCTCCTATTTGGGGCCACCTTTTGCATGCTTTGGAGTTGGAATTTAAAAATATAAATATAGAAGGTCAAAGTTGTGCTCGCTGTTGATAGCTCCTGTAAAACACCTGACTCAATGAGCAAATATTAGCTCTATCAGCTACTTTTAAAAAAAGCTTCATTGTAGTACATTTCAAGTACATGTGAAAATAAGGAGAGTGAAGGGACACCACCCAGCTCCAATAATTATCAGCTCATAACCCATCTTGTTTCATCCACACTCCCACTCACATCTCCTATTTCCATGTTGTTTTGAAGCAAATCTGATAGATCATTTAATGTATAAATAGGTCAGTATGTATATCTAAAAGATAAACTTTTAAAAAAGTGACCATACCATTATCATACTTTAAAAATTAATAATTCATTTCTAACACCATGCTGTAATGAGAGGAACCAGGGCTCCTTGGAGAAATGACCGATTCTAGGACTGGGACGGGGAATATACAAGTTGAGCTTGGAGCATCTTGGAAGTGTCGAAGGATGTGCTCCAAGAAAGCACAACAATGAGGAATGTCAAAGGGACACAGGAGCGAACTGAAAGAGCTTCCAGTGGCCAGGAAGTCTGGAACGGTTTGAGCAACAAAATAAAGCAGTATTGGATTATAACCCAAAGTATAACAAATATCCCTGAGTCCATACTGCTGTAAATCAACGATTGAATCAGTAAATAGGGGAGAAGAGAGAAATCTGTGCAGAAGAATCCCAAATTATGTAGACACTCACCCTCAAGGAGGTGGAGCATTACTCCCCACTCCTTAAGTGTGTGCTGTGCAGAGAAGTATGTGCTTCCTTCCAAAGAGGGCAGTATGGAAAGGGGGGGAAAGAGGAACTCTCCAGGGGAGAGACCTGACAAACACCCTCATCCAGGTGGTCAAGGTCAACATCAACAGCGAGAAGTCCTGTTCATAGTATGTACCCTTGATATGATAGCATGAGAATGGCCCCTTATCGCTGAGGTTTTCCTCCCCAAAACCCATGACACCAGTTTCATCACGAAGAAAATCATCAGACAAATCCCAATTGGGGAACATTCTGCAACATACCTAACCAGTCCTCCTCCAAACTGTGTAGGTCATCAAAAACAAGGAAAGTCTGAGAATCTGTCACAGTCTAGAGGAGCCCAGGGAGACATGATGAGTAAACATAATATGGGATCCTGGAACAGAGAAAGGTGAAAAGGAAATGTGAATACAGTGTAGGCTTTAGTTAATAATAATGTACAAATATTGATTCATTAGTTGTGGTAAATGTACCACAATATAAAATACTAATAATGTATGAAAATGGGTGTGGGTACTGTCTCCACTATCTTAATAACTTTTCTGTAAATTAAAACTGTTCTAAAATTAAAAGTTTATTTAAAAAATTAGCAATTCCCTTCTATCATCCTACATTCATACAGTATTCAAATTCCTAATCATCCCCAATATTTCTTTTTTACCATCTGATATCTCCCTGTAATTGTCTGTTAGAATGCTGTCGAATAGAAATGTAATGCCAGAAGATGGTTGTTGGAGACATTAGTCTGCCATCTTCTCAGTCTGCTGGCTTTCCAAATAAAGTCGTATTCCTTGCCTCAAAAAAAAAAGAAAAAAGAAATGTAATGCCAGCAGCATATGTAATTTTAAATTTCCCAATATCCACATAAAATGTAGAAATAATCAGGTAAAATCAATTTAATAATAGTTTATTTAATCTATGCAAACTATGATCATTTCAACAAGTAATTAATATGAAATTATTAAAGAGATAGTTTACATTCTTTTTGTTTGTGTGCCATCTTTAAAGCCGGATGTGTATTTTGCACTCAGAGCACATCTCATTTCACCCTGGCCCCATTCACGTGCTCAATAGCCAAGTGTGGCCACAGTATTGAAAGATCAAATGTGGGTCTCTAAGTGCCGTCCTGGACCAGTAGCATCAGCTCCATCTGGGAACTTGTTAGAAAGAAACATCAGACATGCTGAATCAGAAACTAGGCGTGGAACCCTGCAATCTGTGTTTTAACAAGCCCTCCAGGTAGTTCTGGTACACTCAAGTTTGAGAAGCGTTGCTGGGTATTAGAAGACAATTTAAATGCTGGTCTGACGCAACCAATGAGTTACTAGAAATAAAAGGATATGTTTCTATCTTCTAGGACAAGAGCCATATGGAATTTAGAGACAGGATGTTTGTTTGCTTTTCTTAAAAAAAGGTTTATTCTTTTTATGGGGAATTAATAGCTGCCAACAATATCTAATACTATTTATAATGGCAATTTTTAGCTAAGAAGTTCTCCTTCGCTTTGAAATTTTAACTGAATTTTGGTTGAACCTTAAGAAATGTTAACCATAAATGTGTAATAACTGCCCTACTACAAAATTTACAAGTCACATTTCCAATGTTCCTCTTGCCTTGATGAAAATTACTGAAGGTCTTCCTTTATCATCAAAG